TGCTCCTGGCTGGGCAAAATTTGCTCATTTAACCCTAGTACTGAGGAGGTAATGAAAGATACTACTGATCTAAAATTACAATCGGGGGATGAAGAAATAACGTATGCATATATGTCACTCAAGTAAACTTTCATTTGTGGCATTGGAGTTCGGGAGAAGACAGGATAAATAAGCTAATATAGTGTTATGGTATGATATTTGGTAAGAAAGCAAAACCCTAGATTTGTACCTCATGAACAAGTCGGAGAGGGCTTTTTATAATTAATCATGTAGAAGATGAAAATCTCATCTAAAAGCTTCGACGAATAGCTGTAATCTGCATCAAAATGCTTCGTAGCGATGAAGTCAACTAGAGGCTATATCGGCAGTCTACTACGCCTGCAGATGAGCCTAATAGAACCCACAATCAGTATGAAGTCTTTTTGTATAAGGCCAGCAAAACTAATAGGTGGGCAATACAGCCAGTGCAGATGAGTACAGGCAGTCACATATGTATAAGTTAAAGAGCAGAGCTCTGAAAGTATTTTGTGTCTCAGGGTATAAGATGCTTTTTTTCTCACTGTGCTCATGTTGACCATGATAGGTTAGAAGATAAGTATACATCAAGGGAATTAACAGTGAATGAACTCCCCGTGATATGGTTGCTCACGACCATGGGGTGAGATTACACTCTAAACCTTGGCAATAAATACTTAGTTATATTGCCCAATCGCAGGCTTTCAATCACTGTTGATCCCCTTTAATCTTCGCCTTCATTTAGCTGGTCATATTAAAATAGCTAATTATGTAAATACGCATGTTTGCTTAAAGTGATCTAATCGTCATCCAATGGGGTCGTGTGCCAACCACCCCAAAAAACCAGTACTCAGGTAATTTAACCACGATTATTAAAGCATATACTAGGGCACATTTGGCAACAGCATGAAATTGAAGTTCAACAAGACAGATGGATGCAGTGAAATATGGAAATCCAGCCGTCTTGATAGCGTTTCGTCCACCATACTTTACCACACATCTTTACAACTTCGTTACTCTTATCTTATCCTCACTATTCCATAAGTTACATAATTATGTGGAGCCTTCGTTAACCAGGATCCTGTCTTTCAACCTTTTAAACCAATAGCTCAATTTTGTAGATCACGTTTTATCAGCTGACGAGTGCTCGTGACTATGAACATCCAGTGTGAATCAAATCGCTTTTATATTATGGTATGAAAACTAATTATACTTGAGCAGGTGCGCCGGTTATTTGTGTTTATAGGTCAGAGTGATTATCACAACGCCTGAATCAGTTAAGGTTTTTACTGAGAATTTCGTCAGGAAAGATTTGCTTCAATTATCGCAAACACCCCCTCCCGAAATACAGCGTGAAGCACCTAGAACGGCTAGTTAAGTTGAAATGCAAAATTGCCAAACTGTGCGTGCGAAAGGAGTTTTTGGAAAGGTGTCTAAACATGAACCAATTCCCGGCTGCTTACTGCAAAATCCTACGTACTCAGAAGCTGCGACCGAATGTCAGGAATTTAAGACGGATGACCAGGAGCTATCTTGAAGAATCCGCTGAGAAACTAAAGCAATACCGAGAGACGTAATTGTCCAAACGACAGGAAAGCGACAAATTAAACTTGGTATGTTACCTCAAGTTTGTAAACTTTTACCGTGATACTAGGAAAATCTGGATTGAGTGTTTTGAAGACATAGAAGAACACATTTTTGAGTCCATTTCACGTATTGATACATCGAGATATGTAACTAACCTCTCGTCTATCCAATTAACTCAGGTGCAACTTGAAGCATTGTCCTGTGGTCTACGATTTTGTGTTCCCCCACAGAGCATTAACAGGACAGAATCCCAGGCGCAGCTCGAGGTATTCTATAGACAGATTGATGGACCCATACCAACATCCAGGGATAACGAGCATTGGCTGAAAGCAAAACTCATTGATCTAGGAGATCAATATCGAATTACGACTTCCAGACAAAGATCCCCCTAGAGTCCAAGCATTTAGATGCCTTAAAGCAGATAAGATACGAAGGAAAAGTAGTTATCCTTCACCCAGACAAGGGATCGAGCGCTGTGATGTTAGACAAATCCGCCTATGTGGAAAAGATGATGACGATACTTAATGATCCCACCAAGTTCGAATCCGACGATAGCACTAACAACGCGGCTGAACTAGAGAGAAAGATAAACACGGAATTGCACACTATGTTAGAAGGAAACTTCATTACCGCCGCAACCGCAAAATCCTTAAGACCTAGAGGCACACAGCCACCTCAGCTTTATGGGCTACCAAAATTACACAAGGTGGATGTCGCACTAAGGCCAATCTCATCCATGATCAACTTCGCCACAACACAAGCTGGCTAAATGGCTAGTGACAATATTGGAGCCAGTTAAGAAGTCAATGGTTAAGCACAGCTTAAAGGACACGTTCGAACTAGTGGAACTGTTGGATGGTGTCCAGCTAAGTGGAAAGTCTATGGCTAGCATCGATATAGTCTCACTATTCACCAACGTACCACTGAAAGAGACTATCCAGATCATATGCAACCATGTGACTGAGAGCCAATTAGAAATGGGTATTCCAGTGTCCGAAATGGAACGGCTCCTGCTGTTAAGTACATCGAATGTGAAGTTCTATTTTCAAAAGCAAGGGTTTCGGCGGGTGGATGGTGTTGCCATGGATAGTCCATTCGAACATCTCTTAGCGGATATTTTCATCGCCCACCTTGAAAATCAAGTCAAGGACGAAATCCACCAATCCGTGCTATTTCGCCGATACATGGACGATCTATTGATCATTTGTGATCAAGAGGAACAACTAACGCAGCTGAACACCAGATTAAATGACCTGCATCAAAATATCAGGTGCTAATAGAGCGAATGATAGCATGCCGTTTCTTGACGTACTGATCGAACGCAGAACTGATGGATCAGTACGTAGATCGGTATACCCTAAGCCGACATGGAAGGGCCATGTTGCGGGCACGTCAAATATTCCCGCAAAAACGCGCCAGAAACCCCAGCAGAATGGCTGTGGAAAGCGAGGGCCAATTCCTCCCCACAACGCAGCAGAGCTCAGCCACTCCGAGACGCGGCCCAAACTGCGCACCTTCTGACAATGGTCATTTACAAACTACCACCTCTTCGTGGTGACAGTTTTCCTTAACTTAATAACCCATAGCACTCTCTGTGATGGCCCTTTGTCGGTCGTAAAAGAGCCTACAGAGGACCACTTGTCTTTTCTTTCTCTTCGCCTCAGTTGGGAGTCGGTCGGATCGCGTGATTGCGTGTGCATCGTTAGCTGGCCAGCCTTCGCGTCTAAGCCATTAGAGCGTGTCTATCGTAAACCCCCCTCTCGTCTGCGTCCGTCCGAGGCTCGGCGTCTATCCGAACACGTGCGGCTAGGATCGTTAGCAAGCTCGCTCAATTATCCGCCTCACCGGCTAAGCCAGCGTCATCAGGACAGCGCAATTCCGTTCGAGTGGTCAGCGTAGCAAGCAATTATCGTAGGCGTGCCAGCGACCCTCTTATCAGGCAATTACGCAATTATCTCAAGAGGCGGCGTTCCCTCAATTATAACAGCGGCGACGACTAAGGCAACCTACGCAATTTATAACAGGCCAGTATCTGAATTTTTGCACTTTTGTACCCAAACGCTACAAACAGGGATTGGTGCGGAGCCTGTTTGACAGAGCAAGAAAAATCTGCACGCCAGACACGCTAGATGAAGAAGTGCGATTCCTCACGAACACCCTAGAAGAAAACGGGTATCCGAATTCTTTCATCGCACAATTCAGTAAGAAGAGGGAGAAAGAGAAGGTGCCCACCTTGCCAAAGCTTAAAGTAACACTGAAGCTACCGTTTAAAGATGATGTAGGCCAAATATTTCAACGATCTTTGAAATCCGCGGCTGCATGAGTGTATCCCGCGGCGCAACCCTTATTAGTATACACAACGACGCGCATTCCCACACCTTAGGTTAAACCGCAGCTACCTCTGTCCAACCATTCACACATCGTTTACAAATTTACATGTAATTGCAAGGCCACTTACATAGGCATGACAGATCGTCAGTTGCGGGTGAGAATCGCCGAGCATAATCCCAGCGTGGGTCAAGAACCACATTTCGGATCTAGCCCAGTCCACCAGCCAACTTGCGCAGCCAAAGAACGCAAGTGGTCAACCTTTTAGAAAGCCTGCGTCATCCATTGCTACCATCTCCTAACCGACACACTGTGTTGACCCCACGCGTATGTTCAGTTTGATCTACGCATTAAACAACACTCACGTGCTGCGATACGCTGAGGCGGTCGCAATCAAACAGCTTGACACTAGTCTGTATGTCCAGAAGGACGCTTTCGTCACTCTGGCTCTACCCTGGTGGTAAGGCAACGGACAGCGGATGAATTGACAAAGACGTGTGTATGCGTGTATGTGAGTGTGCGTATGTTGATGAATTTGCTATTTCAACTCTCTTAACTCTTCATGATGCTATTAATTTTCACGTGTTCTGTAGTACGCACTTGAGAATATTCAGAGAAATTTGTCCGGAATTAACTCAGCGGCGTTTTGGTGTTAACGTTTTTACTGAGAATTTCGTCGGGAAAGAGTTGCTTCAGTTAAATTAATACCCAGACTCGCACATGGGTGATTTACTGGAGACAATACGAAATGCATGCATCTACCAGCCTTCGTCTTCTTTCCGTGCTTTTCGATTTACTGGCAGTCGGTGAATGCTTTGATCACCTTGGGCCAATCACGGAGCCTATCGAACGAGCGTGCCCGATTGGTCAATCCACCTAGTCGATCAGGGTCTGATCTGCTTTGACACGTGCTTGTTGGGTGGGAATTGGTTTTTCATAGAGGGCGGGAAGGTTGGCCATTTAGTCGAGCGTACCCAAAAAGTGCTTCGCATAAATTGATGCAAAATCCGTCATGCTAACACCGGTTGACCTTCAGTGCTTGTTTACATGTGATGAATTTTGGGCCAACGCGCTTGTCCCCTTGACTCCTCCAACGCGATTTCCACTTACCCGAAGGTAAGAACGCTCAAAGGAGGCATGTAAGAATGGAGCCTAACACATCGAATAAACCGTATTTGAATCTGAAACTTCTCGGTGAGTATGTGTCCCGTGAACGTACTAGCGACACTATTTCCTCTGTGTCTATATTGGGTAAACGGGTCGTCCGACAATACGCAAGCGAATTTATTCTACCTGATGATACTCAAGTGGCTGTCAGTCGTCACGAATGCATACAACAACCAGATGGCGAGGAGGAAGTTACTTTGTGTTTATCCATAGGCTTCCCAAAGAGTACACTGCATCTGACCAATACACAAGCCCGCGTCGAAAAGCAGGCGAACGATTCTGGGGCAGTGACCAGCATGTCTGGTGCAAGTTCCGAGGAACTAGACACTGGATCATTCTTGGACACCGATCCAGAGAATGATGCTGCGAAGAAAACAGATGATCACGCAAAGGTAAGTCGCAGTGTTATTTTTGATACACTTTTAATACTAGGGATTGTGATAATGTCTGATAATGTCCCCATTTCGAGGAATCAGGGTTGGTCTTCTGGTGCGTCTTATCTCGCTGGAGCAGAAAGATAGGTTTCGATCGCTGCATACAAAGCCGTTCTAGATGAGGTGGTTGGTAACGCTCCTTTGAGTTCAATGCGAATGTCTCACTAGATAGACATTTGAGGAACGAGGAAACGATGGTATTATAAGGGTTTTTAAGAAGCCAAGGCTTGACAGGTCTCCTATACTCATTTGTGTGTATTAAGCCAGTTCACAAGTGACAGCGAAGGGAAACACGCGTCTGGGGACTCACCGTCATATCGACGTTAACGCACAGGTATATCCGTCTACCCCGATTTAATGGGGGAGGGGGGGCGAGTGACACAATGTTTGTCTGCGCCTTGTCGTCACTCAATGAGTGGAATTGAAAGCAACTAGAGCAAATGTTGTAATGCATCGCCGAGTCATTGTTTAATGGTGACTTTGGCGCACAAACGACAAAAGTAAGAGGAGCTCTCCATTGGTGACAAATTCAAAGAGAAAAAGGATTCCAGCGGCGTACCAGTCGATTAATGAGTGGCCAATTACAGCTACGGATCCCACAATTTTGTGTTGAGACTAACCTTCAGGAGGTGGAGGCAAGCATGACCGAGGATTTTCTAGATCTAATACTCCAGAATGAGGTAGCCCCGTAGACTGTGACGACTTCCGCCGTACACTCCCTTGGCTTTCATTTGAAGATAGAACGGCAAGTTGAACAATTTTTCACAGTCTTGGTTGTCCTTCGCTATGCGGTCTCCAGTGCAATCAGATCGTGCTTTAACCAGGGTTGCAAAGCCTAGATCGTGTACTCTACGTAGGGCCTTGCATACCCATGGTACATGTGAGTGAATATGGTGGGGCCCAACCTTCCGAACGCCCTTCTTAAGAGACCAACACGTCGGTTCGCGGTTTTGGACGCCTTCAACGGTTGCTATGCACCTCCGAGGTCGTCTTAGATCAACACCCCAAAGTCGCGCTCCTGTGAGGCGGTGTCCAACATGTGCTCTCTAAGTATTTACGCGTTAGTGGAATTGTGACGTACATGTACAATCCTTGTAGACTATCCCCAGGGTTCCGTTACTCCTTTGGAAAAACTAGGTGGGCAGGGTTAATTAAAGCTCGATTTTGGTAAGGACTGTGTGAAGTTATGACACACATTAGCCATAGACTAAATGGTTGGGGTTATTTGATAGTTGGTCTGTTCAGTAAAGACACAAATAAAAAAATATTTCATGTTTAAAAATACCAGCTGTATGGCTCCAAGCAGACGCTTCTGTATTTCAAGCTAATTACTTTTCTGCGTTCGAACAAAGATGTAATATAACCCTTGCTTTGTTAATTGAGTACTCCGTCAATTCCCTGTGTCAGCTTTCCTCAACCGGTGGTTCTGAAATTCATCTTGTTGAATCTTATGGACCGTCTTGATGTTATCGAGGAATACAAACCATATACTACATTTAAATGGTCAACTGATATCACTGATACATAGCCGAAATAAAGAGGAAACAAAGGCGATCCTTTGGATAACATCACTAACGACTGGATGGGAAGAAGAAGACGAATGATCCCTGGTGATGACTGGCTGATCTAGTTCTGGTTGTTCAGTCTCAAGGGATTTATCACAAAAGGCTTTTTCGTCAAGCCACCGATTACAGCAACAGCTAAGTGCAGCGAATGGTTACCACGAACCACTGCCTGTTAGACGATGGATATATATATATATATATATATATATATATATTTGCAAAAATCTACGAATAGACATAATGCTATCAGAAACCAGGGGATACAAACGAAGGTACAGAAATAGTAAAATAAAACACAACACAACAATGTCCATAGCTTCCTCAGTGGGCGAGATGCTACCCGGTTGCCCAAGCCGAAGTAGAGTGTTGAGTTAGGGGACACCACCCCGAGCCTTCGGCTGAATAGCCTGTCCGCAAGGCAGCGGAGCGAATTCAAGGAAACGCGCACATTGGGAGCCGAGGACTGATTACTCAGTTCATATGCCGTTCGTTTGTTCCTATGTCAAACAGGGGCCCAATGCCCCCCAGAAGTACAGCATGACGTTGCTGGAATACAATGCTTCGCCAGGATGAAGCAAGGGGCAGTGACTTTATTTAGTGACGAGTCACATCCGCCACGTCACAGTGTTGTTAAACGGACATAAGTGACTTTTTATAGGGAGCAGGATTGCTAGGCGTCAACCCACTACGTCCTGGAACACTGCCACCGAACCATTTGCTGGAACGGGAAAATCCCGAACCACCCAGCTGACATCACGAGGAGATTGTTCGGCAAGCCAGCCGACGATGGAGGGTGTGTGTGTGTCAAACTAAACAGATTATGAGTAGTAGCCCTTGTGTACCCACTACATCCGTGTAATTTTATGTCTCCGGCGTACTAATTACAAAGCTAACTTCCACTGTGAGGTTATTTTGAAGCACATGTTGGGTGAATGGAATGCGGCACGCAGCCCCGATCTGGAATGCGACTAACGCTGAACGGAAGTGACGGCGACCGCATTTGAAGCAAATGAATTACGAATTTTCCAGTACATAGTACTGCACTCCCCGACCACTGGCTTTGCGCTTGTCTTCGCTCGTTTAGACTGAAATAGCTCAACCACTGCCCGAAACAACTCCTCAATGATACACTAACTGTTGTGACGAACCTTGCCTGTGACTTGGTGGTGGCGTAGAAATAACGATTTCGGGTGGCAGTGTAAACGACTTGGGTTAAGTCGCAATGTAGATTGCGGAGTTCACTTTTGCGATCAAGGGATACCTAACATTTGTCGGCACCAATGCTCACCAAGAATACGGTGTTATTAGGTTTTCCAATATAGAATTTGTTGGTGCGATCTCTACACCCATTCCGAAAATGTTAGGGAGTACCTCATTTAATCCTAACTGTAATGCACGGATCATACATTCACACAGTTCAGCAAATGGGTTCCTCAAGGGAACAGAGGATGCTTACGGAGCCAAGTACTCTGGTAACGACATACAACTTGTACAAACAAGTCTAACCACCAACGGTCCCAATCATCTGCGAACACCGACGTTGGAGGTTTAGTATCATGTTCTGGTCGGCAGTTTTGCCGAACACCAGTTGTGTAGTTCTTACTAGCGCACTTCAAGCATGGGTATCAACAGTTTTCATGTGTTTGGACATCGGATTGGTCAGATGTTGACTCGTTATTACACGGTTTACTCATCACTGTTATGCAGCCGACTACTGACGTAGTAGTACCTACTTTTGTCTCTGCACAGTTCTACCAAACTTCAACCCAGTTGGTATGGTATTCGCATAGACAAAGTAACCTCGGCTAATGATGAAAATTTTGATTGAAAATTATCCAACTCGGAAAAGAAATCAAAACCAGAACTAAGAGTAAAATATATGGCTAACATCCGGTATCAGGATGAAGTTTATCCCGAAAACACCGGACTACAGCAATTTCTGTTTCAGCTTATGACCCCACTCTACCTAACTGCTTGATAATTAATTACTAAGTTCTGCTAATATAATAATCTATTGGTTCAAAGGAATTTTCATAACCTACTACCGTAAATCAGTGAATGAATAGAAACTTCTTCAGCAAGAGCGCGCTGCTTTCGCCAAATTCATAACCAAATGCCTACTTGATTGCTACTACTGAGGTGAACAAATGTTAACTGAGTAGCATAAAAGCCAAGATTTGGGAGATCAATCCAGTGGACACCTTCTTCAACTGCAGGTTATCACCTCGCCTAAACTCGCATGCTACTTAGAGCGTAGCCCTCGAAAATTCAGAACGTGTGCTCAACCTCGATCAAAGCACTGTTGTCACGGACACAACGGTCGCCGACACTGTGCAGAATATTGAATCACTGTGCCGTTGATGTCTGCTGCCATCCACTCGTCTTCGTCCTCTACCATAAACCGTTGGCCCAAACGTAACTCACAGTTTAGCCCTACTAGGATCAATCATCTTCCTTAATACCTGGCCGAGATTGCTTTGAGCAGTTCATCTATCCCATGCAGTTATCCTTCACTTGTTAGCTCACCGACAAACCAATAGTTGCCGTCTGCTTAGGATCCTCATCCCGGTTCTGCTTCTTCACCATTTGTTCAGCCCGTCAGCCACGATCACGCCACCACCACTACCACCACCACACCTACTGACCCGCAAAGTAACCATTGCACTTTTCCGTCATCTTACAGACACAGCTGTCTGCAAATCCCATTACACCATATAACGTGATATTCCCGTGAATGAACACCCCGTGACCGCAGGATGAGATAAACATAGACACGGCACCACACATTTTTGGAATATACTTGGAACCGGTCAAGATATCATGATCACAGAAAAATTTCCAGACAATCGCTTGATTTATTTGCTTGGCAGCGTTTCGGTTTTAACCCAGAAGCTTCTTCATGTCAGGTGAATACGTATATAGTTCCTGCGGCATTTTATTGCGGGGGAGAGAATCGTGACAACTGTGATATGGGTAAAGAGCCTATTATAACTACAAAAGGAAATGCGATTTTAAATGGTTTGGCTGAGTGGGGCTATGAGCATGGCTTCACTGTCCACATGTTGGCAATAAACATCTTGGTAAAGAAGTGGATTTCAATTTTAATAAACAACCTGACCCGCCTATCGACGCTGGTCAGATTGGATGGGTGGAGATTGCTCTCAAAGCTAAAGAAAGTTGAACACAATCCACTCCAGTCATACAGTTATCAACCTTTGCAAATTTGATCGCTTCAGAAATTAATCTCGGGTATCCCGTACAAACTTTTCCCAACAACATCAACATTATCCAAACGACCTGATGCTCGGTAGCTAGCGAGTATACAGGTAATCTGAGAATATAGGTCCAGCAGCATCTCTGTTTGTCGTATCAATGAGTGCCTGAAGGAAACCCGACCTGTTCTCTGTAAACAGAACATGTCCAATCGGCACGCTGTGTAGCAACGCAAGCGTCCATGAGAATGTGCGTCAGCTATGTTACAGTTGTTTCACTGCCCTTTTGTTGGGCCGCATGTGAAGTGGAGACTCGAATGCAAACTGCAGCATCTGATGGTCACCTTGGTGCGGAGAGCTCAGCGGACCTCATTATCAAAAGAGCATGATAACTTGGCTCCGATACGACTGCGCACTGAAAGGCAAACCACTAACGGAGGTCAGTGTGAGAGCAACGAGCGCTGACCGCACCAGTGTAGGGCGAGGCTGGTCACAGAATGCGCGCAAGCTCACACGCATCAGTCAGGCTATGTTGAGGCGAAATGGTGAAGTTCTACCCATTTGTTTATCGGATCACTTGATGGGCGATGGATCATGAGCATATACCGCCGTCACCATTTTACCCTCAATAAGAATCGTGTTACATGCCTCTTAATCAGTTAGTGATTCGTTTTCATCTGTAAAGTGAGTGCTGTGTAACGCTGCGCAAACTGTTAGACAATGTAGCATCATCCACAGTACCAAGCGGCCTATCAACGGACGGTACTTTCGTAGGCTGGTGCGAATACGCGAGCGAACTGGGAGCGTGTGCAAACGCCAGAAAGACAGGGTAGCTTCACATCACACGTATGACTTTTCTGCTTATATGGTTGCGCGTGAGGTATCCAGAAGCTGTAATCAGTGCGTTCGTAAACCCGCCCAGCATTGCGACACCACCAGATATGCTGTCCATAGGATTTTGAAGGAAAGGAAATTGTGGAATTATAGCGCCCGCCAAGTGCAGGTTGCAAACCCATGTGATTCGGAGAAGCGGCTTGATTTTTGCCGCAGGTTTTTGAACGCTATGAACATCCATTCAATTCATTTTACTGATGAGGCTGTTTTCCGTTTGTCCGGTGCGGAGAAGCAATAGTTTTGGACAACCTGTAATCCACGCCGATGCGGCGCTTCACGCATGCAACATGACGCAAAGCACATTGTATGAGCTGGGCCAAAGAATCGTGGGACCATTTTGATTTTCTGGTAATGTGACCAGCAGGTTGGTGTTTCGCGGTACTAATACCTTACGATTTCTAGCATCCTGGTACAAAGATTTACTGAAAAACTGTGTCATTCCGGAACTGAAAGCCGCTGGGTTATTACGTACCGTTTGGCTGCAACAAGATGGCGTACCTGCGCACCATGCACAGGCGGTGCGGGATTATATCCACCAGAACTTCCCTTGCCGTTGGATGGAACGGGTAGGACCCATAGAGGGGCCTGCTCGGTCACCAGCTCTGAACCCATTGGATTTCTTCCTATTGGGTTAGTTGAAACAGCGTGGTTACAAAAGAAAGCCGATTTAGCTTGTGGCATTGAAGCGGAGGATTTTTGCACGAATGTCGCGGGATCACGGTTTGTACTTTGGAGAAAGTGCTAGCAAACACCATCAGGCGAATGCTGCACTGTATTCAAATCGTCGGCGGGCACTTCGAACATCAACTTTGCTGACAAACCTGAACAGTACGCTGATAATCTGTAAATATATGTATCATGAACTTTTTTATCGACTGTTTTCGTGCGCTGGTTAATGCTCTCTTTTTCTTAGGAACGTCACTTGATGGTTTCACTTAGGGTTTTGCGTGCGCGTGTCGTTTTATAACCAGTTCGGCATATCCATTCTCCCGTAGGTCGTCTCTAACTTGAAACTTGTCTGTACCGTCCAGTTTCTCTATTCCACCAAATGCATGTGGTAGAATAGCCGTCGAGGCTCAGTTTGCACATCTGAATGCACATTTTCCCAGTTGAACACAGTTCAATGAGGAGATAAGCGGTTGCTTTACAAGTAGGAGTGTAGACCTTAAAAGTCCTACACTAGTGACACCGCGAAGTGACGTACAATGACGCTGGATCATTGCAAGTCCTTAACACAATGGCTACGAAATAAAATGCTTGTAATACTGAGAATTGATATGGGATCAGGTGTCGGCAAAACGGCAAAACGGCTACATCCAGAAAATACAAAAATTTCTTACCGACTCTAGTCTTTTCGTTCGTGATATGACAGGCAGCAATAAAATCGAACAGGTTATGCAATCAAAAGCTCTTGTATTAAAGTCCATAACGGCTGTAGGTTGGAATCACCCAAAAACTTTGACACAACCAAGCACTAGATCTTCTCGGCTTCCTTATTTTTAAGAACCGCCGAAAATCCACACCAATTGTTTCAATCTCTGACCAATGTAAGCTAACTTATCCTAAGGGAAGTGACGACCACAACTTTAAACATATTTGTTGATAGAATATGGAATTTAAACGTTGGAGGGAAACAAGGTATTTTTCTGTGCATGCTCTTTGTTCACCTTTTTGGGACACATGGAAACTACCACGTTGGGGTCTCGTATAAAAAATGCTCACCTATCTATTTAACTCTTTCACTGTACTTTGTACCGCAAGTAGAGTGGCCGTACTGCGAGAAAACTGTCAGCCAAAATCGCAGAGCACCCCACCCCTAACATGTTTGCAAAGGGCCCCAAGCTACGTACCAGTTCGACTTCCCGCCACATACTCGATTGCTTCTCTTGCCAAATCCCATTTGGATCGTTCAGCGTAATTATCAGACAAAGAGACTCTGTACCATATCTCACCTATGTTCGTGAATAGTTAAATTAAATTTGATTGACCACGAAGCGAAATCGTTTGTTACCCTATCAACTTCGTGGCTTACGCATCAGCCGTGATTGCGCACACTGTTCTAATGCAGGTAGCGAATCACAAGTAGCCCTTGCACAGTGGTTTCATTTGTATGCTGGGAAACAATATCCATAGTTTACCATGGCTTAATGTATATATGGTAGCGTAACGACAGTGTTGGCCCTGTGATAAGATACCTTAAATTTCTTTAGTTTGCTTTCGGCCTTGTTCAGTTGTGTGTGTGTGTCGCATTGCCGAAAGGTGCGGCTCCTTACCACAGGTGCCAGTACATCAGTACACGCATAAAAGTTGTTAAAAAAGTCACCGGCACCTATAATCGGGTTGTTGATTCAGAATGGTGGCTCCCAAATCATAGTGCAGATAAGTTCCTTAAACGTATTCCAGTCAATTCGGTACATGCTATGAGTGGGTTGCAACTTTGTACTGGAGTGGCTTAGTTCGTTAAATCTTCACGATACAAGCGCCGTCTTGTGGTTGCAGCCCGTCAGTGGACTGTCAATGAGTACACAATTAGAATAGATCCTCATGGCGAATACTGAATCTAAGGTATTAGTATTTCCGGTGGGCCTTCTGACATATTGATGCAGCCATGGAAGTAGATAGAACGCACCATTTCGTCTACTCCCGTTTAGGCCGTAGGTCCAGGCAGTAGGCAGTTAACTTGTGGCGCATTGAAATATGCACACATAACTTTGGACTTGTAGGTAGTGCTTAAAACTGTGTAGATAGCATACATTAGCTGCTAGGTTTCATGGTGGGTTGTTTGGGGAGGTCGGTAGATACAATCAGTTACAAGATGCCAACAAATGGTATCACGTTCCGCAATGCAACCTTTGCAACTTTGTGAAAAGGTTTACGCATATCGTGATATATATTTATAACGGACTTGTCAGCATAATCAGCCATTGTTGTGCGTGTAAGAACGTTCATTTGGAAATTCGCACCTGACCGGGCCTATAAAAAAACCATTTTATGCCTAACTGATTAGATATTCTGAGGATAATAAACCTGTCATGTCGTTTTGACCATTCGTTGTTGTTCCAGACAGTTATAGGCTGATTCAACTTGGTCTGATTTAACAAGACGCAACCAGTATGTTGCCCTCTTGCGAAGTGTACTAGACAATGTAGATTCCTCCATCTTCTCCCGTACGTTCTAAGTCGAATAAGCCACCCAGGCTTGCCAATCCTGGTTAAAACGCGACCTCGCTGCCCTCGATAGACGAAGGGCAACGAA